AAATTATATTCCTTCTGGCCAACTACCTGTTGGTGGTCCACTGGAGGCATTATTATTGCACTGAAAATCTAAATTTCAAAATCATTCAGTGAATATTATTTTAGTTTAGTCTGTTGTTTTCAAACCACAAATGCGTTTTTATACTCAATCAGACTGAACTGACCCCGTATTAAAGCCTTGATGTTCTGCTGTTCACTTGGAAAGCACCCCGCTTGTTGCAGCGCATTAAACCTTAAGAGCCCAATGCTACAGTGTGTGCCAGTACTCCACCTACTGTTCATAAACAGGAACTACAAGGTGTTTGAGACAGGACACGTTTCTGGTTGTTTTTGGAGGGGGGGTTCACAGAAATTTAATAATAATGTTTTATTTATATGCAGTTTTTTCCCCCACATATGGGGATTCAAATAAGAAATTTTAACTTGTGAGTATCAGTCAAAGTCAGCTTTATTGTCAAGAGATCAAGACTCATCAGACGAGGCAACATTTTTCCACTTGTCCAGTTTTGGTGAGCCTGTGTGAATAGCTGACAGGAGTATCACACAGTGTGGACTGTAAAAGGTATGTTTCGGACCTCAGACCATTACAGAACCACGAGAGCTGTTGCCCATCTGGGTAACGTAATAATACGGCCCACAACTATTGCATAATTCCTCAGTAATTTAAAGGAATTTCAGTTATTTTATTTGAAGTTACAAAGTAATTATATTTGTCGACAAAGACTTCATGGTAAGTACACTAGAATAAAAGGGTCACGTGTCATGACCCAGGAAGCAAAGAAATAATTATATTGTAAGCAGAGATGGGCAGTACGTGTTACTTGTAACGCGTTACTTTTTTAAAGTAACGAGTAAAGTAAGGGATTACTATCGCAAAAATGGTAATTAGATTACCGTTACTTTCCTGTAGGAACACTGCGTTACTGCCTTACTAAAACCGTGATTTTTTTGCGAGAATGTCTCATGACAGTGAGGTAAGCAAGAGCAACTTTCATGACAACAGCTGTGTGCAGATCAACAATGGATAATATATCAAGTGCGGGAGAGAGTATGAGCGTGCAGCGTTTAAAGGGTGGAAGTACTGACCTTACTTTGAGTTTGATTCCGTAAAAAGTGACAAAAACATTAGTGCCTATTGTTCGTGGGAAGAAAACTTCTTTTTACAGCGAAAGAAAACCCCTAAACAAGCTCCGCTTGCGCAAAGACATAATGGGAAA